AGGCCCCGCCCCGCCCAGGCCCCTCGCCTGGACCGCCAGCTGGCCGCCCTCACCCTGACGCCCCGGGCCCCACCCGACTGCTCCAGGGCCTGATGCCGGCCCTGACCTTGGTCCTGCCGGACCCTGACCCAGAGGGACCCAGACTGACCCCCGCACCGCGAGCCCTGGGCCGAGACCCCTCTGGGGCAGCAGCGAGGGCGCCCTGACCCAGCCTCTGGCGCACAGGCTGGGTCTCCTCCCCGACGCTCGCTGGGCCTGGGGCCCCAGAGGCTGGGGGGCTGGCGAGTCGCATGCTGCCGCTGCCGGCCCCCCACCTCCCACCGCCCGCAGCCGCACCAGGCCCGGCCGGGGCTCGGCCTCCTCAAGAAGATCCCACTGAGCTGCCCAGTCCGAGGGGGCCGCGCTGCAGCAAGGGGCCGCCGAGCCTCCCCCCGGCCGCCACTGGGTGGCAGCAGATGCCGGCTCCCGCCTGGAAGCGCGAGAGGCTGGGCACGTGGCCTCCTGGCCACAGCACCCCACTCTGGGACCCTGCCCCTGCCCGCCCTGTGCGCCCGCGGCACGCTGCAGGGCCTGTCCCTGAAGGGGACCCCTGACCCCAGTAAAGGCAGCTGCTGTGGCCAGTGGGCTGGGGTCCCACGGGGTCTGGCTGCTGGCGCAGCCGCTGCCCAGCGCACACTCAGTGGTGAGATGGGGGCCCCACTAGGCGGGACTGAGGGCCACTCCCAGCACCCCTCACCTCCCAGGGCAGCAGGGATCCGTCACTGGGGCGCTGGAGACACAGCCCCGCCACCGCCTGGCCCCGACCCCACCCCAGGAGCCAGGGGACGGGCAGCAGACGCAGCCCCACCCCAACCCCAGGCGGGCTTCCTGGGGGGCGCTCTAGCCTGTCCGGCCTGCAGGGCCCACCTAGGCACCCCCTCCTGTGTGGAGCCTATTTTGGAACGCAGCGCTGGGGATTCGGGGTGCTGGAGATGCCCCGGCTCACGCCAGCAGGGGCCTGAGCACGGGCTTTCCTGGAGACAGTCTCTGCCTGCTGATGTTCAGGTCCGGGGGGGCTGGGGGCTGGCCCTGCAGCCTGGTGCTATGGGGCTCGGGGTGCAGCGCAGAGGCCACGGGGATGGGGGCAGCCGGGGGCGGGTGGGGGTGCTGGGCCTGCCCGTCCCGCTCGCTCCTCTCCTGACTGGTCTGCAGGGACTTTGCAGGTGAGCCACAACCTGGCACCGCCAGAGGTGGCCTCGCTGCTCCCGCAGAGGGGTGCCAGCATGACCCCCAGCGGCTCTGCTCCAGCACCTGGCCCCCGCCTGCCCGGCCAGCAGGGCCGCTGGGCCACACTGGACGACTTGGGAGCGTGTGGCCCGGGTTTCTGCCCCTGCCCAGGCGTGGGAAGTGGCTTGGAGA